TGTAGCCACGCTCGTCCATCAGTTTGCAACCAGCCTTGACCTCCTTTGGTCTGTAACCACGCTCGCCCACCCTCAGTCTGCAACCAGCTTTGACCTCCCTCTTTGCATAGCCACACTCGCCCGTCCTCAGTCTGCAACCAGTTTTGACTTCCTTTGATCTGTAGCCATGCTCGTCCCTCGGCGTGTAGCCACACTTGCTGACCCTCCATCCGCAACCAGGCTTCACCTCCCTCAGTGTGTAGCCATACTCGCCCACCCTCTGTCCGCAACCAGCTTTGACCTCCTTCTTTGCATAGCCACACTCGCCCGTGTTCAGTCTGCAACCAGCTTTGACCTCCTTCGATCTGTAGCCACGTTCGCCCACCCTCCGTCCGCAACCAGCTTTGACCTCCCTCTTTGCGTAGCCACTCTCGCCCGTACTTTGTTTGCAACCAGCTTTGACCTCCTTCGATCTGTAGCCACGCTCGCCCACCCTCCGTCCACAACCTGTCTTCAACTTCCTCTGTGCGTAGCCACACTCGCCCGTCCTCAGTCTGCAACCAGCTTTGACCTCCTTCGATCTGTAGCCACGCTCGCCCACCCTCAGTCTGCAACCAGCTTTGACCTCCCTCTTTGCATAGCCACACTCGCCCGTCTTCAGTCTGCAACCAGCCTTGACCTCCTTCGGTCTGTAGCCACAGTTGCCCACCGTCCGTCCACAACCAGTCTTGCCCGATGAGGGTCTGCCACATATTACAGTGACCTATCTCCGTATAATATGAGGGAATGGACATGCATAATATCCCGTATGATATGGGCCAGCAGACCATGGGCCCATGATAAAAATATCCTCGACTATGATGGATGGGCTGGGAGGCAAATTATTCCCGATGGAGGCGGGTGGGCCCATGCAGGGAATATATAGAGTAGATGAGTGGGCTGATGTACATGAATATTAGGTAGACGGGTGGGCCGAGGTAGTTGGATATTATGCAGATGGGTGTATTAAGGTAGATGTGTATGAGATAGATGGGTAGGTACTTGTTATCACATTCACAGGTGGGCCCAGACACATATTAAATTAGATGGGTGGGCCGAGGGTATTATAAAATATTGTATTAGACGGGTGGGCCCAGACACATATTAATTAGATGGGTGGGCTGAGGGTGTTGTATGGGATGTTGTATTAGATGGGTGGGCCGAGGGTGGTATAAAATATAGATGGGTGGGCCCATGTGTATCATAATTGTAGACATGATGGAGCTGAGGTAGTTGTACATCAACCAAATCAGAGGAGGTAATAAATCAAAGTTACCAAGTTCCCGGAGCAGCAGGTGATCTCCTGACATGGCCTTTGATAGTGCACAGGTTGTCTTGCAAAATTTGGAATCCGGGGTGCGAAGCTTGTGTTGCCCTATGAGATGCCAAGTTCCAACCACCCAAATTTGGGTCAACCATACCGACTTCTGAGTTCCGGGACCTGGGAGTTGACAAATGAATATCTGATAACCAGCACACTTCCAATCAGGTAGTATTTCATTGAGCAATGGATCATCCAAGGGGTCCCTTATCGGACTTGGTAGTCAATATAGGCAAATGATAATGAAAACATGAAAGTTGTTATTATGCTATTTTTCAAACCCAAGACCCTGAAACCCATTGTTCAACATGTCCATTTTTCACTCACTGCACAAATCACCGAGTTTCAAGTGCCGAAACCCAAAACTCGAAACCCAGTGTGCAACACGTCGATTGTTCATTTACATTACACAGATCATCGAGTTCTGAGTGCTGAGTGCTGAAACCCGAAGCCCAAAACCCAAAAATATGTATGGAACATGTCCATTTCTTACTCATTGCACATATCACTGAGTTTCGAGTGCTGAAACCCGAAACTCGAAACCCAGTGTGCATCATGTCCATTGTTCAATTATATTACACAAGTCATTGAGTTCCGAGTTCCGAGAGCCAAAATCCGAACCCCGAACCCCGAAAATATGTGTGCAACATGTCCATTTTTCACTCACTGCACAAATCACCAAGTTTTGAGTGCCGAAACCTGAAACTCGAAACCCGGCGTGCAACATGTTGATTTTTCATTTATATTACACAGATCATCGAGTTCTGAGTGCCGAGGGCCGAAACCCGAAGCCTGAGACCTGAAAATATGTACACAACATGTCCATTTTTCACTCATTGCACAAATCACCGAGTTTTGAGTGCCGAAACCCGAAACTCAAAACCCGGCGTGCAACATGTCCATTTTTCATTTACATTACACGGATCATCAAGTTCTGAGTGCCGAGGGCCGAGACCCAAAGCCCGAAACCCAAAATCATGTACACAACATGTCCATTTTTCACTTGTTGCACAAATCACCAAGTGTCGAGTGTCGAAACCTGAAACCCAGTACTTCACATGGACACGAATTGTATTTGTATGTATTATCCATTGGTGTAGGGTTCAAATAACTTGGTAATTGTATTTGTCAGTACTCGGTACTTGGTACTCGGTGATCGGTGGTCAGTGGTCAGTACTCGAGACTCGGTAGTCAATATAGGCAAATGATAATGAAAAATGACAGTTGTAGTCCACGTCAAGGTGAGTGTCTTGGTAGTCTTTCCTTGTCATTCGGCAAAACATCAGCAATAATGAAAAAATGAAAGTTGTTATTATGCTTAACTTCCTTACCGAAGGTTGTAGTCCAAGTCCAGGTGAGTGTAGTGGTAGTCTTTTCTTGTCAATTGGTTATATTGTTACTCATTATGCAGTACTCGGTACATGGTAATTGGTACTCAGTATTTGGTTTTGATACTTGGTACCCGGGAATCAGTAGTCAGCTTAATGAAGGTTGTAGTCCGAGTCTAGGTGAGTTTATTTGTAGTCTTTTCTCATCCATTGGTTACCATGTGACCGAGATATAAGCTAAAGAAATCTGAAACATCAATAATGACAAATGAAATACATGTGTGCAGTAAGTGAGTGTAAAGATAAAAGAATGAATATTAATAGCGAGACTTGCACATTATGTCGAGATATCCAACATAACAAGCCTGTGATGTGATGAGAGACCTGGAATAACACCCATATACATCCATTATAATAGCTTAAAAGCCTAGAAAGATTCATGAAGGATTGATGTAATGATAGGCAAAATGACATATGTGTGGAGAGTGACAATAGACATCTTTTATACAAAGTCACATTTATATATGATTCAGGCCGAAAATATCATTACAAATATGTAGGATAGATTGTAAACTACCCAAGGAACCCATACTGCCTACTGCCCTGAGGGTAGGGGGTGGGTAGAAGGGATATAGTGAAAATATGAGTTGACCCAGCATTAAAGTCCTACCACTGCTCAACTAACCATTTTCGATGCTTTGGGTCTTTGAAGTTTCCCACACTCAATTTCTTACCCATTTCACTTCCTCAGTACTCAATTCTTGGTTGATTTGTCTGTAAATTTATGTCTATGATACTTAAGATATTTGAAATGTACCCCAGGTTTCTGATTACGAAGATTCAATGTTTTGAAGGCATGGGCCCCTTATCAGGCAAAATGGCAAGTATACACACTAGCTCACAAACTCCAGCCTATTGTGAGCTGATCTTGGTCATAAGAAGCAAGAATATAAGCTATGCTCATTATATATCAAAAGGTTGGATCATGGATGCAAGGGCAAGATACTGAAAATCATGAAAAAAAGTCAAAAGTGCAATTGTCTATGCTTTGTTCCTGGAGAAGGATCCTGTGTGTCCTGGGCTGGTTATATGATATATCTACTCTGAATATGCTCAGGAATAGACTCCCTACAGTCCTTGAGGTCCAGTCCTACAGGGAAAAAACCCCAGCGGGTGAACCACCAGAAGAGGGGGAGGTACACTATACAATAAAGGATTACCCTATAGTCCTGAGCTCCTGATACATTGTTTCTATTGTTGAATAGATGATTGAGATATAATTTCAAAGTCTATTCACCTAGAAATGAACACATAGGAACATATTTTGTATTTTTATGTATATATGCAATATCCATTTAAGCACCAAGTCTCAACTACCGATTACCAAGTCCCGACACTTGATAGTTGATAGTCAGTATTCGAGCTCCGAGTGCCAATATTGCCTACCAATATCTCAATCAAATGATAACCAAACCAAGACCCAAGTTCCAAACCTGACTACCGAATACCAAGTATCAGTACTCGGGACTCAGGACTATTGGCTGGAGTACCCAACTATTGATTCCCAGGTACCGAGAATTAGAACCAAGTACCGAGTACCTGACTACTGATTCTCGGGTACCAAGTATCAGAACCGAGTACTGAGTACCCGACTACTGATTCTCGGGTATTGAGTATCAGAACCAAATACCGAGTACTGATTCCCTTGTACCGAGTACCGAGTAACGAGATAACCAATTGACAAGAAAAAACTACCAATACACTCACCTTGGCTCAGCCTACAACTTTTGTTCAGGAACTTAAACATAATAATAACTTTCATTTTTCATTATCGCCGATGTTTCAGATTTCTTTAGCTTATATCTTGGTTAAATGATAACTGATGGACAAGAAAAGACTACCAATACACTCCCCTAGACTCGGACTACAACCTTCGGTAAGGAAGTTAAGCGTAATAACAACTTTCATTTTTCATTATCATTTGCCTATATTGACTACCAACCACCAACTACCAACTACCAACTACCAACTACCAACTACCGAGCACTGACAAATACAATTCCCAAGTTATTTCAACCCTACACCAATGGATAATACATACAAAGACAGAATTCATGTCCATTTGAAGTACCGTGTTTCAGGTTTCGGCACTCGACACTTGGTGATTTGTGCAATGAGTAGATGGGCATGTGGCATACATGTTTTCGGGCTTCGGGTTTCAATATTCGGCCCTTGGCACTCAATGATCTGTGTAATGTAAATGAACAATGAACATGTTGCACACCGGGTTTCGAGTTTCGGGTTTCGGCACTTGAAACTCGGTGATTTGTGCAACAAGTGAAAAATGGAAATGTTGCATACATATTTTCAGGTCTCGGGCTTCGGTGTAGAGACTCATGCCTCTCATTGTGCAATATGGCAGTTTTCACTGGGGAGTACATGGCACGAACTTGTAGCATCACTCTGTGTGCTACCCGCAGCTATCTCTATATGAGGCACAGCTTTCCCGCGCAATGCGCGCCATGCGCGCGTACCTTTCCCGCGCTTCACGATGTATATGCGCGCGCGCTTTCCCGCGCTGTAGCACCCTATAGCGCCAGCCATCCGGAAGCATCCATCCACTGTCCACCAAGTTCCCTAGTGCGTATATTTCCATTTCTCACATTTGCATATCGTTCCATCTTTATTTTTATCATGGACCCTTACTTACATATATCTTTACATACCTTACTCGGTAGCGCTTCGGCTCCGCATGACAGCGCTTAGGCGCCATACTTAAGCGCCAGCAGTACATACTTACTAACTGACTTACTCTCCCACCAGAACGACAGAGGACTTACTGGTTACTACCCACTATTTACCTAGCAGAACATAGTAGAAATCTATTTGTTTACACCTTGCATCTCCCTTCTCTTGTCTTACATCATATCATCACCTAAGCAAACTCACTCTTACTCTCTCTTGTTTCCGCATACACGCGCGCGCATTCCCGCACTTCGCGCATTCTCGCGCCTCGCGCGCACCTGCGCTTTCCCGCGCTTCGCATTGGCCAACCAGTAGCGCTTTCAGCGCATACCTCTAGATCCTTGCTGCACTCGCTTCCCCTTTAGGGTTGAACGCACTTGTCGTCTCAAGTATAGCAGACTAGGCAACGCACGACCTTACAACAATTATAGATACAGTCAGGAGCATTGTTCGTGCCTCGCTGTATCGTTGAACCTTCATCGGGTCTCGGCCCTCGGCACTCGGAACTCAATGAATTGTGTAATGTACATAAAAAATGGACATGTTGCACACTAGGTTTCAAGTTTCATGCTTTGGCACTCGAAACTCAGTGATTTGTGCAGTAAGTGAAAAATGGACATGTTGTGTACATATTTTCGGGTCTCGGGCTTCGGGTTTTGGCCCTCGGCACTTGGAACTTGATGATCTGTGTAATGTAAATGAACAATGAACATGTTGCACACCAGGTTTTGAGTTTTGGGTTTCGGCACTTGA